CTTATACTTAGCTTTTTTATATAGTTTATTTCTCACGACTAACAAACCTAATTTGCAGATTTTTAAAAAACTAATTTTGGATTCGGTAATCAATTCATTCATGAATTATTTAGTATGAACCAAGGACCAATCGATCTACTAGCAATTGTGAACGATTTACAAATTAGTAATTTAAAAATAGTAATGATAGCGAACTATTTTTTTTATAATGAATAGATAAGCCATAAATTAATCTAGATACTCCCATATAAGTTATAGATATTCTCGATTTCAGTTATGGAAGTGTTCTCACTAGTTGACTTGGGTATGGGAGCTCGAGTTTCTGGTTCAGGCTCTGGATCTGAGTCAAGATCAGAATCAGAAGTATCACTCTCAGCATAATACTTTCCAGAATCAAAACGGTCTATCTTATGTCTCATTGCAATTCTGCTGAGGAATTCAAGATGTTGCGAAGTTGGATTTTGACCACCATGAACTCTAGAAGCATATTTACCTCTGATTTTTCTTAATCTTTTGGCTATAATATCATATAGTTTTAAAATTTTACTAAATACTCCTATACTGCGTTTTCCATTAATACTATAGACAGGATTGCGTAACTTTCCAGTTGCTATTGCATCTTGGATCCAGGTAAGCAATTCTTTTGCACGTTCTGGATTCTTTTTTATGAATAGAAATTGCCGAGGTTCGGGATTATTTTTTGCTTTTCCTTTATTTTTAATATACCCGATACAATACCAAGAATAACCAGGCTTGTACCATTTAGGAGGATTCGATTCATCGGGTTCATAATGGATAATACGAAGAGTGGTAACTTCAGCGGGTCTCATACTTAATATCATAATTACATCTGCAAGATCTTGCATAGTAGAGATTTTAGTAGTATTGATATTTTGAATTCTTCTAAGTCCTTCCTCTAAAGAAAAGTGTTTGGGAGTTTTAGGTAGATTGGGTAATCGCTGTTCGAGTTGTCTCTTTTAAATTTCATTAGAAGCTCGAGTAACTTCTGGTAATTTGGTATATATATAAATTTGCTCAGAACCAACTCCAGCTTCTGCTAACTCTCTACGAAATTGTGAAACATGAAAACTGGCTGCTACAATTGTTTCATCTGTATTATTTTTTGGCACAGCTAAGTCTAAAGCATGTAACCAAATATTTCACACATCTTTAGTTTTTGCACAATATTGAGTTCTTTCCTTAGTAGTAAGCCTTTTCTTTTTGTTGTTTGGAACCAGAGCTCCTATTTGATTTTCTTTAAATAAGCGCCAATGGAGAGCCTCTTTCACATCTTTATGAGCCTTCCAATCTGGTAGCATAGTACTAAGCTCATCAGCATGAGCACATAATTGAAGCAGATTTGATTCGGCTGATAGATTATATTTATTAAAGACCTAATCCAAAATAGAGGTAAAGCTATTAGTTTTGGGTTTTCTAGTTTTTCAGACAGTTGCTATGATAGATATGTAAATAATCTATATCGATAAGTAGAATGTGATTATACATTAATCTACTTATTTTTTTCAATTCAAAATTAATTATTATGAGTCAGTATATATACTCAAAATTGAATGGATTGCTGTTTGAGTAATCTTATCAGAAAATAGACGCGAACAAGATACAAGTTCGATTAGGCACAAAGTGTTATTTCTTCTGAAATAAAGTTTTGAAATCTGTAGCTTTACATAATAAAATTACCAAAAATATAGAAGGCATCAAAAAGGATATAACATTACTTAGGCACATAAGTGCTATTTTTCCAAAATAAGAGGTCTTGGAAAAAATAATCAATATATACGTATGCCAAGTATATGATTAGACTTCGTATATAGAATCGGAGAAGTCAGATATATAATTCTTAAACCTGGTAATTTGTGCACATAACTCATTTTGCTTTTTTCTGTCATAATTCTCTTTACTTTTATATTTTTCCACATATTTATTGTATACATTATATTTAGACCTATTTGGCTCACTACAATCTCTACACGGAGTAGGTATTGGAGAATTACGATGAATATAACATCTTTCTGATTTACTACGTCGACTACAGATTTCTCTAGTTCTATGAATATATGAGCACTGATATAATATCATTGTGATTATATATAATAATTACTTCAATCAAATATATAATTTTTTTGGCGTCTGGCTAAAATTTCTGTAATAATTAATTTTATTTTAAAGATTTATCTACTAATTAATATAGTTTCAATAACATATATTTTTTGTCAGATCAAATAACACACATATACAAACAACATATATACAAATCAATAAAATGAGTTTGTCTAGTGAAGCAAAAAATGTCTTCATGAATTGTTACAGTAACAGTACTTAAATCAAAAGTCAGCTGAATATAATAAAGCAAAAAGGCTTTTTACAGGTTTAACAGATCTTGATTATAAACCTGGCCATACAGAACATACATTTTATAAATACTGACTTGCATCTAATAATTGTGCTAGCTCAGCTAATAAAAATAATACTGCGCTTTTAGATGCATATCAACCCGAAGAGATCCATTCTCAATATATAGTTTGAGTAGCAAGAAAAGGCTATACAGTGATTGATTATCTTTCCAAAGTTTATGGAATACCTGATGCCTATGAATATATTGATAGAAATCAACCCCTTCATTTAGTAATCAATATTGACGCGAGGCAAAAACCTGATTCTTCTAATCTTAAACTTCCTTCTCTAGATAATGAAAAAATTAATCATGAGGATTTGATATCTCGAATTTTAGTCACTTGTGCAGATGCATTGAGTTTTATACCGGGATACATGCCTTTCTTAAATTCTTTTGCATTAGCAAGTTCATTGAATACTAATAAATTCAGCTGGTATATTATCTATCCTCGCTGGTGCATTGCTAGAATTAATCGCAGTAGAAGATACCAAATTAGCCAAAGCTTCTCATATAGAAGTATTTCATACTATTAAGAATACTAAAGAAAGAATCAAAAGTTCTGATGCAGAATTAATAGTCAATGCTCCAGATATCAATCCTAATGAAGCTAAAATGCTTAAGCTAAATCCTGAATGTTCTTTTGCTGATAACATAACCCTGCAACAATATTATTTATAGAGAATATATGCTTCAGGCGATATTGGAGGTAAGGGTGATATTCGAAACTGAGGTATAAATAACAATGATTGAGTTAAGCTTTGTAATATAGATTTCGTGGAAAGATATAATAATCCTGAACCTTTACAACATTTTAGAAGGCTGGCATATTTTAAAAGACAAGGTTCTAATGCAATAAATTCTATAGAAAATCTAAAAATCAAAAAAGAAATACAATAGGAAGATTCACATGAATCTATGGATCCGTCCTCAGTTGATTTGTATAAATTTTATTTAGCTAAGCAGTGGGAAGCGGTACATAATCTTGTCCAATCGATAGGCTTCAGTGATATAGATGATACAAATATTCTTTCTAGTGATAATGTGGCTAAAACTTTTGAGCAATCACAGGAAAAAATTGTTAAAATTCGGAAAGATGCATTATTACTTTTTGGTTTTAAGACCAGAGCTAAAAGATTGCCTGATCTCAAGGCTACAATAAAATTGATTAATGCAATAGTAGGAAATTAGTGTGGTTATACCATTAAGAGTGGTGCAACTCATGTAGATTCCAAGAAACATCAAGTATGGAAACATACTTATTAGATTAATCGTAAACTATATGGTAGAGCTAGTTTTAAAAATCAAGAAGAAGTAATGGCTACAAAGTTACGTATTCCTAATTATCATTCTATAGCTCTAATTATTCCATCATATAAGTTGAAATCGATTGATAAAATCCAAGAACTTTTCAATTCAATACCCATTACCACTGATATTGCTGTTTCAGAAGAAGCAAAACTTCGATGCTTTGAATCATCCAGTAATGAGATTTGTGAAGAGAGTTCTTGTAATAGTATTGTTAAGAAATCTGTAATAAATTTGTCACAATTGCCTTCTTTGGTATCAACTCAAAATCAATCAAATAATTCTGAACAATCTTTAGACATGATATGCCCACCTCCAGCAATTTCTCTATCTTCAGAATTTCTCATTAAAAATGAATCTGATATAGATATACTTATTCTTCTTTTACAGCAAAAATTTCAAATGTTTCAAGAAAGGTTAGAACAATAGAAAACCAAGATTGCCTTTGAATTTCATGATAATATTAATTACTGAAAAAAAGAACGAGAAAGCATGAATGAAGTCAATTTCTTGGAATATAAACGAAACTTTGAGGCTAAAATGAAAGTTCCTACTACTCCGCATAAAAAAGAACTGAAAAATAAATCTCTAGCAATCATTGAATATGCATAATCATTATA